TCAGGTTGTCAACCTTTCAAGTGGTAGATTGGGTATTCAAATTCCATCAATAATAAAAATTTTGAATAATTACCTATGTAATATTTATATTATAGCAACTGTTACTAATGATTAGGTTAGGATACTTGTAATGATGATCACACCAGCATGACTGGCAGGTCATGGGGCATCTGTATAAGTATGGCATTATACAGAGAAATGCAAACTGACAAATCAGGTAGTGCAAACACTAGATAAGTCCTTGTAACTATGTAAATCTGTTGAAATTGGGTAACAAGAAGTCCATTTGGGAAGACCTGAGTAGAGAGGTAGCTGGATTTTTAACAGCTATTCTGTAAAGGCTAGTCTAGAGAAATGGATATCAAGGTCATAATACCCAGTTATAGTAGCCAGACAAGCAAGAACCTCTAGGTTGGGAGTCTTAAAGGTATCATCAACTAGACTGCCAGAACAAATTAGAGAAAAAGAATATTGGGCAGACCTGATATATTAATAGACTGCTCATAGTTCTATATGGACTATCTGGATTAGAAGTTTGGTAAAAAGACAGGTGAAAAGGCAGAGGTATACTAAAGTACTGAGGTTATGCTATAAAGTAAATGCTGAGGTCTAAGTGAACTCTACAAGAGCATAGCAGTTTAATGGTCAGCTCTAACCACAAGTGTTGATTCTGCTATAGTGATACCTAGGTCAGCTATAAAAATTGATACAGAAGGCTCTAGAGGGTTTATCTTAAAGATAAATTAGTTCTAAGGTTTAGACAATGATCTGGACATCTAGGTATAACCCAGTGAGTTAACACAAGTTACAGATTCAGAGGGTTTAAAGTGGAACATCCAAGCAGGGGTGTTAGATATAGCAATTGGCAGGGAGCTTTTGAGCAGACTCCTTAAATAAGTAATATAGAAAAGTTATACATGTAGCCAATTGTACTCTTTTTTGTAGTAGTTTATTGAATCATAATACTAATAAGTGATTAATAAAAGTCAAAAGACCAAAGAGGTTATCTTAAAAAAAAAAAAAAAGAATCTTAATAAAGTACTAATATAACTGCTTAAGAATAAAAAAAAAAAAAAATTCTATTTGCAAACTCTTATCAACTTCATTAACTCATACAATATTCAGCTTACTTTTCACAAAGTTACTGCATACCAAGATGATTCATTTAATAATCATGCTGACCAACTTGCCCACTATTACCAAATTCTACCCTTTTTTAATATTCTTAATCAACAACCCTTACAATCCTGCCTATACTCTATTTATTAACCAATTTCCTATTGAAATTCCCATTTGATGCTTCATTCATACTATCTGTTAAGCTTACATCATGACACTTTGGACATCTTAACATTGTTTCTAACAATAGTCTACTATTGCTCCTAACATTAACTAGAAAGCCACTTGGCTTTATATTAATAATAATCAAAAGGTTTCTAACTTTGCCCATAGTTTTTATTCTTCTATTCTCAAAACCTTTTATATTAAAATTCTTCTGGATAAACTACCTGTTTCTCGTATTCTTCACAAACATAACTTCTTTTATTTCCCTCTCTGTCATCAATGCAATTAAACTAGCTTTTCATTACACTGGACTCTTTGTCCTTCTACTCAAACAATTTATCACTTAATCTCTAATTCTATTAATTGCATCTTAAATGCTACTGCTCTTGACATGTTCTCCAACCTTGTTTCTAATTTACATCAAGAAATTCTTACACTTAACTGTTTTAAATTGCATAAGCTTTCTCATATACCATCCCTTATCTCTACTTTATCTGGCTTAGTTCCTATTGACCTTATTTCTACTATTCATAATACTTTTATTCTTTACCATACAGCTACCTTACTTTTTATTAAATTTCTCCTTCATTTAAACCAACAAATATACAAACAAATATGGATTCTATATTGTATTTTACAATCAGCACAGCCTTCAACTACATCTTCTATAAACTCAACTTATAATTCTCCTTCTAGTCTATCATTACCTCCTATCTCAATATTACAAATTATTACTAGAATTGATCTTTGGACTATTCAATGGATTAAATATTATACCCCTCTCTTATATATTATTACTAATACCCAAATCTAGGTGAGTCTTGGCCACTCTTGTAGATTTAGGTCGCAGATTATATATCTGAGTCTTTATTCTTTATATGTAATTTAAAAGCAAGCTTTTTTTTATAAAAACTTTAATTGAATTTCAATAAAGTTAAAGGCATGGCCTCACTGTTAATATTTAAAAAAAAAAAAAATAAATAAAAAAAAAAAGTAAAAAAAAAAGTACAACTAGTTACATATATAACTTTAGTTATTATCTAATTAAGAGTTTTGCTTATAGTTTACATACTAGCTGTCATATCTGAAACCCATCTCTGAGTCACCTATTTAAACTTTTTAATTTTTGATATTTATTATATATATATGCAATACTGTATATTACTATTATTAATATTAAGAGTTTTGCACGTTTTTGGTTATTACTTTTTATGCACTAAACTAAATTAGATAAAACAAACACCATTGGATTTATCTTATCAAGCTAGTTCTAATATGAACTACTCCAGTATTACTAACAAAATTTTGCAGTCATATGATAATTAATAATAAATTATTCAATAGTTAATTATGATTTAGTGTAATGTAACATGATTAGAAAATTTTAAACCAAATATTCATTTTGTTAAAAATCACTTATTTCTTAAAACTTGCATAAGAAATCACTATCTGTATATTGACAAAAAGTTTTCCTTAAGTAATTTTGGTATTAAGATTTCTAAAAATCCTATTAAAACATAGACTCTACTCTAACTTAAAGAAATTTTGTTAATATTACATAACTGCAAAATTTTGTTGGTAATCTTGAATAAGTTTTCTAATAAATATAAAATCATATTATTTTGATTACAGGATCACAAAATTAGGATGATTTTGATAAAAGTACTAATTATAATACATGTGACTTGATTCTAATTGGCTCCTATTATTGTACTAAAAATCTTATATTTCTTATAGATCTTATAGATCTTACAGATATTACTGATATTACATTTCTATTAGATTTATTATTTTTATCATTTTTATAATATTTAAAATATATTTTAAATCTATCATATATATAATATTTATTATATCTTTTAGTTCTTATCTATTCATTTTTTTAATATTAAAGATAAGTACTTGTAATCCAAGTTTTTATTAATAGTATGTTTCAGTTTTATAATTGTATTTCAACAGTTACAAAGAGTAATTATAAAAAGAATATACAACTAGTTATTTATACAACTTTAGTCATTATTTAATTTAAGTAGTCTGCCTAAAGGTTCTACACTAGCTATTATACCTAAAACCCATTTGTGAATTCTAGTATTCTGCAAAATTAAGTCAAAGTTTGAATTTGAATTAAATATTTGAAAATATTTAATTTAAATTCAAACTTTGATTTGATTTTGCAGAGTACTAGTAAATCCTTTATTTAAATACTCTGGTTTCTGTATCTACTTACCTACCTATTTTATCAACTGTTCTAATTTTTATAATACAAATATACTATAATCATTAAATCTTTAAAGCAGTTCACTCATATAAGAAACCTTTGACCTTGTACTAAAACTATCAGAGCCTTTTTTATCTAATTTTCAGCTAACTTGGTATTGCTATATTTGAAACTAATATTTGCAGTCTAAATAAATCTTAAACTATTACATCCTTGTAGAGTTTATATAACTCTAGTATTCTTCTTTATAACCTCACTAATATTTTGTATTCTCTTTTTATATTACTAATTCAGTTAGCTCTATATGATATAACTTAATATCTGATTTAATTAGTAGCCAGGTTAGTGGATCTCTTTATCTAAAGTTCTTGCTTGTACAGATCACTTGCCTTAGGTTTTCATCTCTGGATCAAGATTTTTACTAGTAGTTTAATCAAAGATTATACTATTTTTTTACTTAGAATTTCTAAACAAGGCTTCTTATAGAGTATATACTTTTTAGATTTATTAGTATAATATTACATTATTCTAAAGTTAGTCATAGTACAATCAGAATTACAGAGTTACAACTCAGATATCTCATACAAGTTAACAGAATAGAACTATTTTTCAAATTTCTACTATCAGTAGAATTTGAACTCTAAACCTACTGCTTAGTAATAACAATCCAACTACCATACTAAGATTATTATCTTCTAGTTTTTATATATCTTAACATTATTATATATAGTATTTATTAGTAATAGAGTAGTCTTTATTGTAATTATTTATAAATAAAAATACTTATAAAAGCACTACTTTCTAATCTATTAAGAAAATTAAGTGTCTTTATATATTTTAATAATAAATAAACTAAATGCAATATTTAATATCTTTATATACTATTTATTATTGTTCTACTTTGAAATACCAAATTATCCTGTATATTGTTAAGTTTTACTATAGACTTTGTATAAAATCTATCAAGTGATAGTCATTATACTATAGTTAAACAGCTTTTGTTATTACTATAATAATAAAAAAAACTATAAATTAATGCTATTATTATGACAGAACAGTTTATAGCTATTTAATTATTATTTATATCAAAGTATTACTTTATTAAATGTTACTAAGTATCTATAATCCTTCAAATTTACTTTTAACACAAACTTACTAAGTATAGTATCATAATTATTCTTAGATTTTATTTAATTTTAATGTATCTTATATCTACTAAAACTGGTTAATACTAGGATATTCAAATTTTAGTAAGTTTATTTCTTTCTTATTGTTTCTTTTTATATTCATCATATTATCTGTTAGTGTATTATTTTTTTATTTTTGGTATGTTTAATGCTTCTCTTAAATTGAGTACCAATTTTTATAATAAGTAACTTCTTTCTAAAAACTTCTTTATATATTAATTTTATAATCATATAGACATAGCCATAAGGCTTTATATATATTTATATGCTTCTGTAGATTACAAAGTTTTTGTATTTAGCTGGAATTAAACTATTGACCTTATTTGTAAAAATCAGAATGTCTAGACTACTAGGCTACAGGACTCTAACCTATTTTAATACATTATTATTAATATAAAGTTTTATATTTTTTAATAGTAATAATAAATATTTGTAAAAAGTAAACTAACTTTTAAGAAATGTTAAATAAAGTAAAAATTTTTTATATATTCACTATTAAAATATAAAAAATATTGAGATTTGTTAATACCACCTTTTACTTTTGCTAATATTACCCTTTTTATATAAAATATTTAATCTCTAACCTTTTAGATCCTAATTATTAATTAGGGTTAGATTATATAAGGGTTAGCATTAACAAAAATAGAGAGTAGCATTAACAAGTCTCAAAATATTTTACAGTTTTATTGTTTAATTTAAAAAATTATTATAGATATTGAATATTAATTAAAATAGCAAATAAATAGTATATATCAAACTATTTTAATTATAAAGCTAGAAAATATAAATCTTTATAAGTCAGAAATATAAAATTTTATTTTTGTATAAGAAAGTAAATAATTATAATTCATTTTTATCATAGCAATAATTAATAAAATGCCAGGTTTACTAAAATGCATCAATGATGTTGAATATTATAATTGTTATATCTTAAAAATGTACTAGCTAACATTTCTTAAAAATACTAAATAAAAATGTTTAGAAATTCAAAAACCTTGCACTAACTAAATTAAGACCTTTATATATTTAATGCCTATCTTATTTAGTAACTCATTTTAATTATAAATTTTAGTAAACTTATCAATACTATAAACACTATAGATGTATTTTATAATTATTGATAAAATACAATATTATTAAATTTAGATTTAATATAATAAGTTTATAATGTATAGCTAATGTTTCAAGTTGGTAAGATTATTTAGTTACCAATTATAGTTATAAATAATTATTTTTTATTATATAACTAAATTTGTTAATTGGCTAATCAAACTAAAAAATAATATAAACTAATTTAAATAAATAAAATATTTTAGAATTTAACTAGATGATAATTTAATCAACTAGTTGGTTTAAAATTTTCAAAATAATTATTAAAAAATTGTTAATTAGTTAGTTTTTAAACTAATAATTAAATTAATATATATAGCTAATTAGAAAAATAAAAGCAAACAGACAAAATGCATATAACAAAATCTAATATAAAAAACAATATATATATTTTTTTTTTTAAATATTAACGGTGAGGCCATGCCTTTAACTTTATTGAAATTCAATTGAAGTTTTTACAAAGAA